GCCTCAGTGGGTTGGCCTGCGTCCATTTCTCAACCATTGTATGTTAGATGTTACATCTTTGTGTGCGCTTTGTGTTAGGCATAAATATGATTTCACAAGCATATTAATTTTCCTCTTTTAGGTATTTGCAGGATATTGATTATCATAGTGGTACAGTGTCATAAAATATTTCATCTCCAGTGTAGTAAATGCCAATTAGAGATTTTATCATACTTATCTTGGCATATATGTTTCAAATCATTCAAACAGACCTCCTAAAACCTGGACACCACTAATTTGTCTAACTTTACAATTTATCACAGCTACCTTTAAATTATGAAGGCATTTAGCAGTGGTTGGTCCTGTAGACTTGTTTGACATGCATAAACGAACACTGATTAGGGTGTTTCATTCCGCTATAGAATGGTTATGCTCTATGTTCTAAATTGACAGTATCTGAGCCCTATTTTAGCCCTGAGTCATAGGAGTCTCTTAGGGAACTTGACAGCATACTAGCACCATTGCAAGCTAAACTTCATGTCGCTGATCCTCATTAAGAAAATCCTTTGTCCCATTAGTCCAAGGACTTCTGCTTGCACAATGGGACTTCCTCTCAACCTGTTCTGGGCTTTTCCCCAGCCCTCCAGATCAGGGGACATGTGGGAAGAGGACAGAGAAGTCATCCCATTATTCAGGCAGAAGTCCTTGCACGAATAAGACTACTTTGTTGAATGCAACCCAAGAGTTGATTGGTGTTGGTCACAATCTGAAGACTGCTCAGCCTGCCCATGTATTGTTGATCCCATTCCCACAGTTATTGGAATTTTGCAGTGTAGATAATTTATTTAAGGCTACTCAAACACAAAGGTTCAGTATGAACTTGTGGCACAGATTTCCCCATCCTCTCCATATCCTGTCACTTAGTGTTCATTAGCTAAGATACTATTCTCACTGTTTACAAATTATAAAACCATGGTTTAAATGTATATGGTTCTTTTTCAGTACCCACTCGCTGGAATATTTTATGGATTGTAGCCTTCTGAAGGTATACTAAACAGATCCTCTTTCCAGGCAGGGAGATACTTAACTCCTCAGGTTTTGCAAGATACTATAGTTTTAAATCAGAGTGTAAAGCACTATTATGGTTACATACAGTGTTAAGTCAGTTGGTTTTAACGTGGTCATTACCACTTCCAAGTGCAAATGCTTCCATTGTAGAGAGACAAAGTGGGTAACAGCATGTTGTTAACATTGTGTAAAATGCTAGCATAATCCCAGCCATTGTTGGCAGGTTCGTTTATCTGTCAGATGGAGCAGAACCCACACACCCCTTTCATTTCTTTTGCTCCCCTAGAGCTTTAGTCTCAGAAGCCCTGGCAGTAAGAAAGTGCATTATTTCTGTCCGTTGCATGGGGCAGATAGTAGAAACCTGTTACTTTTAGACAGCTGCCTTCTGACAAAAGCACAAACACTTTTTTGCATGCTGTCTTCATCTGTTATCTCCATATGATCTTTCTCCCTGTATAGGATGTTAGCTTTACATAATCTGTATAGTAAATGACAACATGCCCACAACTACATACTGTTTGGGAGTGCACACATTTTGTTCAGGCTGCACTGGTTACTATGTTGCTTTTGCCCTGGGACAGGCCTGCCAGGCAGACTCCTATGGGCAAAGAATCTGTTATAATAACCGTTTAATATGTTAGCTGTCTGACCTAAACTGACACAAGTCAGGAAATTCCAGCTAAGAAATGGGAGCCTGCTTCAACATGGAATTTCCTGGTTTCCGTCAAAATAAGTCTCTCTGTTGTTGTTGTGTTAATTTCTTTTAAAAACCACATTTAATAGCCTTATAAAAATATGCACTTTCCAGGGAACTTGTAATGTGTCTCCATTTGGAAAATTATTAAGAACTTCCATTTATAAGCCCTCTTACTGTGTTTTGTTCAAGACTGCAACACCTAATTTCATGTCTGCATATGGAATGTGCAATTAATTGTGATAGGGGTGCGCATGTTTCACAATGGCAAATATTTGCAGTAGGGGTAGAGCTGTGAGGGCAACCCATAAGTGAAAGTTAAATAAAATTTCTGCTAAGCACAGCTGGACCACACAGTGTTTATGAACTAATCATCTGCTAAATTCAGACTTGTTAAAATTGGAAGCTGTGTAATTTATAAGAGCACAAAGCAACTGTAACTACTTTTTTTTCAGTCTTGTAACTCAAATGGTGTAATTGATTTCTCTTCCACAGACACATACCTTTTTTGGGTGGTATTAAACTTCACTCAGGGTCTGAGACCTCATAAGCCCATATTTCAAGCTGCAGTGAATTTTTATAGCCAAGTTATAAATCCCTGGAAAAATATGCCTTTTTATAACTAGCTGTGACAGAACTTTAACTACTGATCCATGAATACCAGCATGACCACAGTCCAGTTTATTGTAGCCGTAGCAGTGAGGCACTAGTCTGTTGAAAGAATCAATCCATTTCAGTTTTTCGTCATTTCAACTCTGCTTTTGAGAAGAGTTTCTCTTGTTAATGTGAGGTTTCTAAGTAATTTTATTGGCGCGTTACTTGCATCACACACTCACCAGTTAAAGACTGCATACTCAGAAACGTGTCTGCAACTTTTATTCTGTGGGTATAAATATCTTGATTTTTACAGTGGCAATATCCAAATTTCAGATAATGTCATCGGCTTTTAACATTTCAGAAGTGGGGCTACATTTGAATGTTAATTGGGGCTACAAGTAATGTTAAATGGGGCAGAAAAATTTAAAAATCCATCCTTTTGTTCCACAAGAGTATTTCTCAGTTGTTACCCCCACCCCACCCCCAGCACAGAGGTGGCTTACATGTGGCTCTCCACATGTTGGACTCACATCTTCCATCTGCTGCAGCCAGCATGGCCAGTGTTCAGAGATAGGGGCAGTTGTAGTCCAAAAACGTCTGGAGGACCACAGGTTAGTCATCACTCGAATATATTTTCCTGTTCATTTTTTTTTAATGTACATTTACATTATTTTAATTTGTCATTGAACCAAAATAAAATGCCGGGTCAACTATCTTACCTTTCTTTTCAAAGTTATTTTTAATGTTAAAAAAAAGTGTGTGTGACAAGAAGTTGCAGCAGAACAAAATTGAGTTTCATTCTTTTCCGTTTTCCTTTTTTAAAAAAATCCTGGATCTTTCCTCTTTGAAGTACCTGCTTTCTCTCCCCTCATATTCCTGAAATCCACAGCTGATAGGCACCAATGCCCCTGCCATAAGTTACTGTTGCACAAAGTGATAGATCTAATCTTCTCTTTGGAAATAGCATGCAAAATAGGGGAAATCTAGGGATGCAAACCAATTTTTCTCTACATTCATGCAACTGGTGTAAGTTACAAAACATTTCCTAGATCGCAGCTTCCAGTTCTTCAGTAACAAGGCTTGTGCATGGCTTATTTTATGGTCCGTCCCTCCTCACATTTGGCCCTAGAGAAACATAGTAGCTGGAAGTGTCCACACCATGGGTAGGCAAACTAAGGCCCGGGGGCCGGATCTGGCCCAATCACATTCTAAATCCGGCCCGCAGACGGTCTGGGAATCAGCATGCTTTTATATGAGTAGAATGTGTCCTTTTATTTAAAATGCATCTCTGGGTTATTTGTGGGGCCTGCCTGGTGTTTTTACATGAGTAGAATGTGTCCTTTTATTTAAAATGCATCTCTGGGTTATTTGTGGGGCATAGGAATTCGTTCATCCCCCCCTTTTCAAAATATAGTCCGGCCCCCCACTAAGGTCTGAGGGACAGTGGACTGGCCCCCTGCTGAAAAAGTTTGCTGACCCCTGTACACTGTGCATATTTACACCCACTTAATCAGGAGTTTGAGCACAGGTGCTATTTCTGTTCAGTATGACCCAGCAGCATGATCCTAACCCTGTTTTCTCTGAGCTCCTGCCCTCCTAAATAATGTTTTAAGCCTATCGTGCCTTCCTGGTGTGAGCCAAGGTGCTTTTAGCCTTGCTGAAACAGGTATCTGCTCACTTCTACAGTATCCTACATTTGTAGTGTACATCTGTTTTGTCATTTTTAGGGTTCACTTCACAGTGGGTCCAGTGCTGAATCTGGGTTCCAGGCTGGGCTCTTGTCATTGCATGCACTTCCTGCATAGCCTAGTTCTAGTTTTTAGCCTTGCATCCCAGTCTGCAAAAAATGAAACAGTTGAAGGACTGCTGTAAAGTCCAAACGAGAAGAAGAAGGTGGTAAATCATTTTCCTTGCTAAAAGCTGTATATATGTGATAAAAATTAAAACATAGTAGCTCAAATGGAAGCTCTGTTCCTTTTTAGAAGTGATTGGCTACTGCAGGAAGAGAGAATAAATTACTATATGCTGTTGAGGGGAATTCTCTTTTGAAGCATACAGCTGACCTACCCACCAGGAGTTTCATATTCATAATGAGCACCCACGCAATTCTTTCACTCTCTTTTTTTTAATAAATAATGTTTATTAAAGATTTTCTTGAATTAGCTCCAGTTTGACCTGCTACGCTAAGAGCTGGTATTTAACACCCTGTGAAACAATCTCATGCCATGCCTGTTTATTTATCTTGAGATAAATGCAGCCTCCTTTCTTGCTACTGAGCATCGCAATTTGTTCAATTGGGACAATGCTTAATGACTAGTATCAGCATGGTTGATATTTCGGGTGAATGCGGGTAGGTTTGGCATATAATGTGGCTCTGTGGAATTGTTACATTTGTATCATGCACCTTAAAAATGGCCTGGAAGAAAAGACCTAATGCTTCATTTGTTTATTCCCTTCTTCCTTTAAAATTAGCTTATTTTTATATACTAATTGTTAGCCTCCTCTGCCCTCAGATCCCCCTCGCAGCCCCGACTGTTAGCCAGCAGACAGTGAAACATTTGAGAGATGTGCCGTTACAGAGTGGGTGATGCACTGTGAGATCTCTGGAAACAGAAGCCCGTTTTCAGTTATCGCCAATTAACGTTTCCCTTCCGATTTGCAGGAATTGGGTAGCCTTTGTGCATTAGGTGCAACTTCTGCGCTATGGGAAAGAGAAACAGGAGGACAGCAGATAGTTCGTCCTCTGAAGAGGAGGAGGAATATGTTGTGGAGAAGGTTCTAGACAGGCGTGTTGTGAAGGGTCAAGTGGAGTATCTTCTCAAGTGGAAAGGATTCTCTGAGTAAGTCCAACTTTCCTTCTGACGTGGGCTTTGAGCTTTCTTGTTAGCAGAGCTCCAGGCAGTGCTTCAAATTTAACTTCCGTTGCCCTCATTCAAGCTTTCCTTAAAAACAAAAAAACCTTCATGGGTGGGAGCTTGCTTTCCTCACTCCAGACAAGAGTGGCGTGCATCCATTTAAATGAGTGGGTCACGAGGCGAGGGCCTGGGACCTTAAAGCGTGTTTTGGAAATCCTGGCATCTGCGTTCCCTCTCTCACTTCACAGAGTTGGTAGTTCCACTTGAGTTATTCACCAGCACTATTGTCTAAAAGGGAGGGATGCGGGTGGCGCTGTGGGTAAAACCTCAGCACCTAGGACTTGCCGATCGCATGGTCGGCGGTTCGAATCCCCGCGGCGGGGTGCGCTCCCGTTGCTCGGTCCCAGCGCCTGCCAACCTAGCAGTTCGAAAGCGCCCCCGGGTGCAAGTAGATAAATAGGGACCGCTTACCAGCAGGAAGGTAAACGGCGTTCCGTGTGCTGCGCTGGCTCGCCAGATGCAGCTTGTCACGCTGGCCACGTGACCCGGAAGTGTCTTCGGACAGCGCTGGCTCCCGGCCTATAGAGTGAGATGAGCGCACAACCCTAGAGTCTGGCAAGACTGGCCCAAACGGGCAGGGGTACCTTTACCTTTATTGTCTAAATAGTTTTCCATTTGAGGTTTCTGATTTGGGAGGGCATTTTGATCAAATACTCTTGTGGATTGCTTTAAACTGCTGCTTTGGAAAAGGAACGTTAATCCTCTTCCCCTCCCTTCAGAGCTGTGTTGTCCAAGCACAGAATTTGGTGCTGGGTGTGAAATTTGAGTATCCCAAATATCTCTGCTATGATTTTTTATTTCGATTTTTCAAAAATACAACTTTCTAGCTGTTAAGGATATTAAGATAAGCTTGAAAGTTGTCAGCAAAGGTTGTTGAATCTCAAACACCGAGATGAGCTGAGAATAATTTCCAGGAACCAAATCAGTAGCTTCAGCATACTTTGGCCCTCTCCACAATTACCAGAACTGAAATAGATTTATACAAAGCAAATATATGCAAAATGCATAACTTGCACAGGGTGCAGAGCTTAAGTTAACTTAGTATGTCATTTTGATTGATTTCATATATTTTTTTAAAGCACAGCCCTTCTCATTAGTCCCAGTACAAAAGAACTGCTCTAAAAAGGATTTTTGTCGATGTATGTGTTTGTATGTATATGTACCCTGGGTATTTGTCCGGGGTTCTGGCAGCCGGTTTTACGGTTCCATGAAGGACAGCCGTGATTCATTATGTAAGAGTCCAGATTTGAGGCCACGGTGTTTAAATGGATGCACACCACCTGATTCTGGGAAGGCAAGTTATCAAGCAGACACTGACACATTGCCCTGCTGTGCAGCATTTGAGAGGGTATTTCTTCATCAGCACCACATCAAAAAAGAGCACTTTGGGCTTGCGGTGATTCAGTTGTTCAAAATGATTCTGTGTCCCTTAGACCATGCTCAGTTTGAAAATATAAAAGTAAATAATCTCCAAGGAAAATAGCCTTAGATCCAGCTCACACGTAATGCTAAACTGTTATTTAGTGCTATGTGGATGAGCCTCTCTGAACCTGAGCAAAGTGTTCTGCTTGTGTGCTTTTGCCTTCTTTTTCCTTATGTGGAGCTGGGAGGAGGACTTCTGTTTAGTTTAGCTTCACTGTCAAAGAACCTTGACTTAGCATTACGTATGAACCAGGAATCCTGGCTTGCAGCTCACAGTGGTTCGCTGCTAAACAAAGCCAGCCTCAAAGTATAGGCTTGTTTAACTAAGAATTGCTTTAAACTGGGATCCCTGGTTTGTATGCAACACTAAACTGAGATCCTTTGAAAGCAAAACTAAACTTGCCAAAGGTCTTCCTTCTGGCTGAAGAAGAGGTGGGGAGGGGGGGACTTGAGAGGCTAACACTTTGTTTGGGCTTGTGAAGAGTCAGCCACATAGCACTAAACTGTGGTTGAGCATTGTGTGGAATCGTAACCATTGCTTCAGTGTTTCAATATGCTTTTGCTGCAACCTGTAATCTCATATACTGGACACAAACTAACCCAGTTAGTCTAACGTGACCTTTTCCTCTACTACCCCCCAACTTTTTCCTTTTTGTTTTGTTTAAACATCAAGCCTGAAAGAGGGCTCTTTGAAATGTGAATGTTTGCTCATTTAGTTGAACCTAATAATGATATGATTAAACTGTTCCTATTTAATCTGTGTTCAGTTAGTATCTCTGGTACTGTTCTTAGAACAGCTTGTATCTAAGACAAGGCTATATTCTCAGAAATAAATCCCTTGCATTGTAGGCATTCTTGCAGCTATGGTATATAGGAAGCCTCCCTGTACGTAAGTGACGGTGTGATTAATTCCTTTATTACAAATATCTCTAAATGCTGCTAATGTTGTTCCTAATGTAAATTTGGGGAAATCTCTCAAAGAGTATGTAACCCTTTAAACAAAAATACCTCCTAGAACCAGGGCTGGTCAGATGTTTCAAATGCAAGTGTTAGAAACCAATTTTTTAAGGAAACAGTCCTGTGCAAGGGTCAAGGTGGCCAGGAAGAATGACAATTTCTTAAGCAGCTGCATTGGATTTTTAGAAATCAGGGCAATGTTGTGCTTAGAATTCTTCCCACTGCAGCTGAAACCAATCCCAAATTACCACAGAATTCTGTTTAAGCCCTCAGAGATTCAAACAACTCTTACTCTGAGCAATCCATCGTGAGCATCAGGTCTTCTGAATTGGTTTTCTAAGTCTTCCCTAAAAACCTGGAACAGTTTTTTCTCCATACAGATTTTCTTGTGCAGGGTAATTCTTCACTCAGTTCTTAATTGATGTCTGTGATCACTAAATGGGAACTTTTTCAACTTTTTTCTGTTTGTTATTTTGTCCCCCACTGTTGTCCTTCTTTTACTATATCAGGGAGCATAATACTTGGGAACCTGAGAAGAACCTTGACTGCCCTGAACTGATTTCTGAGTTTATGAAAAAATACAAAAAAATGAAGGAAGGTGAGAACAAGCCTCGGGAGAAATCAGAGAGTGCCAAGCGGAAGTCAAGCCTTGCCAACAATACTGAGGACATCAAAGCCAAAAAGAAGAGAGAGGTGAGCTTTTCGCCTTGGCATTTTTCACTTCCAGAGGTTTGCCCCATCTCAGTGATTCCAGCACTGGATGTATGTGTGTGCATGCTAGTGGCACTCGACTTGGTAGTTTAAAACTGCATCCTAAAAACCCTTAGGATTTTAAGTTTAAAAATCAAGGACTTGAGATGTTGCGTCCCCAGAGCAAAGCTTCAGGTTGGCTGTGCTTCATTGTGCCAATTTTCATACCCCTCTCAGGGGAAAACTACCCTGTAAAACAGGATGAGCTAATTGCCGCCACTCATTGTAAAGAAAAGAATCGCTAAAATAATTATGGCCTTTAAAATATAATAAAGATTAACAATCAAGCAGGGAGCCTCACAGTACTATCTAGAGCAGATTAAGATCGGAAGAAATGCAATTTACTGTTTGAACGCCTGGCTAAAGCAAAATCCTTTTTAATGCACTCTTCTAACTGTGACAGTAAACAAGCTCACAAATCAACATAGAGAGTTTTGTGAGTGGGGGGGGGGAAACGGCTTTTTTTTTGTGATTGTGTTCTGAATTTTCTGTCACTTTTCTTTGGAAGGAGTAGCCTTAACATAAAAGAATCTGGGGGGGGGAAAGGGCGGGGAAGCAATTTGAAGACCCATGGTTCAGGAATCACCTGCTAAGAATGTACTGCCCAAATGGCTAACCTCTGCTGCTGTAACAGCAGGGTGCTCAGAGCAGATGTGCCACAGCAGGTAAGGAAGGGAAAGCTTGTTCTGAAGTTAGCCTCATATGAGTTCTGAAGCCAGACCCTGCACTGAGTGAGGGAGAATGGATCTTTCACAACCGCTGTGTCCTTACAGTCAAAGGTCCTCCTTACCTTTGAGAGGGTCACAGGAGAATAATATTTCAAGATTACTTGGTGTTATGCTGATATTTTGTTAGGTAGTTTGTTATTGAAATATTATAATGTATTGTTTAACTTGTGATGAATTAATAGAACCTTAATAGTTTTATGGAATTGTTTTGATATTTTTGCTATTGCTGCTTTTAATTTTGTGTTAGCTGCATTGGGCTTTCTACAAAAATATTAGATATTTCAATTACAGTTATGGAGGGGAGGACATAATACACCTCTCTAAGCAACTGAGAGTTCTTTCCCAATACGTATGCAACAAGTAGATTGGGTCACAGTTTTACAACTGAGAGTTGAAATTCTGAGTGCTGCAGTATATGTGCCTGGAAAATCTTGGCAAAGAAAGATTAAATGCTGTGGATATAAGGGCAGGCCAGGTAGTGGCTTTGAATGGTCACAGACATGCTTTCTGGCCACATTCATCACACCATACATGTTGGTTCTTCTAGTTTGTGCGGGTCATTTGCTGCAGTTTGTACTGCAGGCTGTAATGGATACAAGGCTAATGTGGATCAGACAATCTATTGATACTCTAATAGAGAGAGAAAAGGCTACGTTTTCTTTCTTCTACTTCCATAATTTTAGCTTAGTGTACAGAGAGTGTGGGTAGCTATGATCTGGATGAAACTTTAGGTGAATGTTGCAAAGTTATGTTCAGAGAAAAGCCTCTTTTGAGATAGGCAAGATAAAGCCTGTCGTATCTTTACTAGGAGTCATTACTCCATATTTCAAACCCTTATATGATTTTCACGAGGCATGCAAGCCAAAAAGAATTTGAGGGATAAATTCTTACAATTCACTTAGAAAACGCAAGCTGCCTCAGTGTGATCAGGCCTGTGTATACTCTGCTGAGAGGAATCAAAATTCTATGGGCTGCATCCAAAGCTCTGCTTCTGCAACTGGTCTTTCCCTTCTTCCTCTGGGCAGCCATCTGTACAATGTGAAAAGCTTCTCCAAAATGTCAGAGGGGCGTATCAAATGTTTTGGGCTGAGTCTTATGGAGCTGTAGTGGGAAGGGGCAATTGCAGTTCATCCCTCCTACTGCATAAAATACAGCTCACAATATTTGATAGATTCCCCTGGCTCTCTAGAGATGCAGGAGGGCAGGGAAAGACTGGCTGTGTGAGCTGCTTTCCACTCCTGTAGCTCAGGGTACAACCTATGTCCTGTGTACACAATACCAATATATTTTCCACATAATTAATTCTGCCAATGACCCAATGTAGGGCACTGAAATTCTGCTCCCTCCATTCTTCCCACTTCTGAGATTTCATGAGGAATTGTCCACACACTTTACTTTCTGGCTTATCTTTGCATTCTTACATTAATCTGAGGTTCTAAGGATGATGGTTTCTGTGCCCTGCTCCATGCTTGCACACTGGGGCCTTCAAATGACAGAGCACACACCGCTCTATATACGATGTTGTAAAGACAGTGCTCTTGCTGACTTAAGTTACAGGTATTGGAAATACTGTGAAGGTCAAATGTATCACCTTAATTGGTTAAAGCTTAATGGCATTTCTCCCCTTCATTTTAAAATTTGCCGAATTCACTAGCCAATGCATGAGGAGACATGAGAACATGGGTTATTAAAACATCTTTATAGGGGAATGTGAACATATGAAATTTGGTATAAATGAGGATCTGTTGAGTGGCATTTTATGTCTTGTCTTTCCTTTCCTGGAGGAGAAAAATCTTCTGCAGTTCTGTGTGTTCGTTATTTTTTTATAACCTTATTTGAAGAAATGCCCTGCCCTTTACAGCTGTGTCTGTACAAAATTATGGCTAAGTCACTAGAGATTCAAACCTGCACTGCTACTGTCGGTCCTTAATGAAATCATAAGGGGTAATAAGGTCGTATATTTCATATCCAGCAGGTTATCCTTAGTGCGTTTGGATTACAGTTTTATAACCCATTATGTATTCTCCTTAAAGTTTGAGAAGTAAAACTGTCCACTGTGAAAATGAGTGGTTTGGTTCCTGCCGAAACATCCTGTCTCCTCCAGCATTTTAACATGCCACGATTCCCCTTGGACATAGTGCCTCAGGTTTTTAGGACTTGTCCATTAGGGCCAGTTGCAGACATAACACTTAACCGTAGCTAGTGGTAACCACAGTTTAGAATCCTATCAGCAGTTAAGATTTAAAGCATACAGTCAAACGACAGTCTAGGCTCTGCCTCAGCAGTCAAAATGCTCAGGTGCTGGGACCTATGAACCAGCAAAGTGTCCACCACTGATCAGACCACCATCTTTGTAGACCTCATGTTAATGGACAGTGAGTGACATTTTGGTAGCCAATGTGGGGATTATGAGGTTCTGTTGCTCTGGTAACATTTATCAAAGACAATATCAAGTGGGGGTGCATCACAATGATGGTATCTTTGTTAAATGTACAAGCCAACTGCAGCTATTCTTACCACTGCCAAGAGAGGGGAACAGTGATGATGATTTCCTTGGCATTTTCTTCCCCAAAGGGGAAAAACGTGGGACATGTTCAAAGGAGCCTGGCTAGTGTGGATTGGATACTGGTAGGAGGAGGCTGTGCTGCATCCTTACATATTGCCTCTACTCAAGTGAGGCCTGGCTTGGGCAGATTTCTGCTGGCACTTCAACTTCAATGCATTGGGACTGAATGTGTGGTGATGAGTTAAAGGACAGTGATTGCCTGTCGCGCTCTCTTGCAGTATTGCTTCCTGTCCACCTTCCTTGGGCAACCCTATTCAGAACAGAGGACAGACTACATTATAAGGTACAAACCAGACATGTGCTGCCCTCCTGACAGAGGCAATTGGCCTGGCAGTACCAACTTCATTTTTATTTTTTTTAAAATGATATTTATTAAAAGTTTAACAATTACAAAAAGGGGGGAGACAATAAAAAGTTACAATACGTCAAAAAATAAAAAGCAGAATAAAAAACAATACAGCACAACAATAAAAAAAATTAAAAACAAAAACATTTAAAAACACATCCAGTATTTCCATATCTTTGTCTTTCATTTACTTGTTTCATCGACCTCATCACACCTCCCTTTTTTGTATTCTAATTCAATTTAGCTATTTCAGCAAATCCTTTCCATCTTTCTCAATTTTTGTTCTATAATTTACCTTAACCCAATCTGACCTTAAATTTTACACTTTGGCCCATTAACAATCCATTTTTACTTAATTCTTTATAACATTTCTGCTAAAACCATGTAACTTCATTCCAGCATCCTTCTAACATTCATTAATTTTGCTATATTTTTGTAAATATACTTTAAATTTTTTCCAATCTTCTTCCACCGACTCGTCTCCCTGGTCTCGGATTCTGCCAGTCATTTCCGCCAGTTCCATGTAGCTTCATCTGCCATTCTTCCCTGGTGGGTAGATCTTGTGCCTTCCACCGTCAGTACCAACTTCAGCAACAATGGCACCCAGGAGGTGGGAGAATGGTGGCAGGCAGGTAGAGGGTGTGAGTGAGTGAGTGAGTGAGTGACTGACCGACCCATGGATTCACCGTCCAAGGTTTCACTTTCCCACTTGCCCACACTGCTCAAGTTTTCTCCAGTGTACCTGGCCTGGACTCAATCAGCAGTTGGCTGTGCTGAGCCGCCCTGACTGTGTGCATAGGAGGAAAGAGGGACTGTTCCTCCACAGCTTTCAATGGTGTCCTTTGTCTCACCTGCCTTCTTCAGGAGCCCCAGATGCTCTTTGACCCTGCTCTGTTTTGCCTAACTGAGGGCAAAGCAACATCATACAAGTTAGCATTGTACCATTGGCAGGCAGATGAGCCAAGGGCATTCCTCCTTGACAACTTCTGGGCAATTCTCAGCTTTTCACCTCCTGTTCAGGTGTTTCACTTCCAATTCCTAGTACTACCCACCCAAGTACCCTTCCCCAAGTTTGTAGACCAACGTACCCTAAACAGTGGCATCTAGTATTCCCTGTAATTCAGGCCTCTCCTTCACATCCCTGTTTTTTCCTCCCAGGCATGCTTTCTTTAGAAATGTTAAGGGGTTATTTCTGCTACTCTTCTTCCTGTGGCTGTAGCAGATTATCGGCCTCCTCCACCCACAACCATAGAGGTGCTAAGACCCATAAACTGAATCAATGCTCGTGTGCCATCTAGGGACACACATGGTTGCTCTTTCCCTGTTTGCTGAGAGAGACAGGAATGGGGAAATATTAATTGTGCAAAAAATTAGCAAGAGACATAGGAATTTAAAGGGAAGTGGATTATCTTGAAATGCTACAGGCACCTCTCATTGAAGTACCTGCTAAATGAGGTGCAGGGGAAATTCCAAATACACTTATGGAATGTTTAGTTGGGAGTTGCAAGCAAACAGGAAATTAGTAGAGAATGTCAGGTGCCTGCCACTGAGCACCTTCCAGCTGTTGCCTTCCCTGAGTTTGTGATGGCTTTGATAAAACTCCATTCTAGGAGCAGGGTGAAGTTTCATCAAGGATCTGTGGCTCCAGGCCTCTTAGCCACCTTGGCAATACCTCAAGTGACACTGATTCATTCCAAAGAGTTGAGAGTGTTCATTGTCATGTTCAAAGTCTACTAGCAACACCCCCCCCATGCTGTTCTTTCCCATCCCCAACAAAACACAGGATTTGTTTCAGAAGGTGTGGAACGAGTCAGAGAAATGTTGGAACCCACAGCAGTACTATTCCTTTGTCTGCAATCCTGTGGCTTCTCTTGAAGCAGGCACTAAATGGTAACTTCTTTCATTTCCTTTTCCCCATCCTGTTGGACACTTCAGATGGCTTCTGCTCCAGAATGGAGATTGTGAGCTGCTGCTGCATTTCTCCCTGCACTGGCTAGAGCAGGGATGTGAAGCCTCTGGACCTCCAGATGTTGTTGGACTCCATCAGCCCCTGCCTTCATAGTCAATGATTCAGGGTGATGGGAGTTGTAGTCCAGCAACACCTGGAGGGCCAGAGGTTCCCCACCTGTTAGCATGAGGCTCTGTTGTAGCCTTTCTTTGCTATCTCTTAACAGCTAGATAAAGAGAGCCAGTGTGGTGTAGTGGTTAAGAGCGGTGGACTCGTAATCTGGGGAACCGGGTTTGCTTCCCCGCTCCTCATATGCAGCTGCTGGGTGACCTTGGGCCAGTCACACTTCTCTGAAGTCTCTCAGCCCCACTCACCTCACAGAGTGTTTGTTGTGGGGGAGGAAGGGAAAGGAGAATGTTAGCTGCTTTGAGACTCCTTCAAGTAGTGATAAAGCGGGATATCAAATCCAAACTCTTCTTCTAAAGGTAGTCCTTTTTCAGAGCTGGGTTTGCAGACGTTCCTGCATATTCTTGCTCACCTCCATGTCAACAAGCTCCCTGGTCTCCTTGTTTCACTACAGTGATGCTTTTGTACCGTTTTAAGAAGGAATAGCTCTGATCTCTCTGTTGATAATTTTTCAGCTCTAGGTTATGGGCTGCAGCAGATGTTTTCTGAGGTCTCTGCTGGACTGCTGGGACAGACGTATCAGTCAGTCACAAATTGTAGGCACAGGCTGTTGCTGGTTGAGCTCACGGGTGCCAACTTGAATAAATATTGTGGGGGCCCAGGTAAGCCCCACCCTGCATAATTGATCACATGACACAGTGCACACACACCATTTGAATGGGAATGCCCATCAACTGGGGGGGGGATCAGCCCCTCAAATATTTTATTGTGGGAACTGAAGCCCCATGGGCCCTAGGAATTGGCTCCTATGGTTGAGCCAGAGTCCAGGCATGAGGTGTAGATGGAGGCTGAGTCACAGATAGAAAGAGGAAGACTATAAATATTAGTTTGGAAAAGATCTGCTTTTTGACTTGCAGTATGTCTACTCGGCATTCCCATCTCTCTGGTGTCGTGGCCTGTGCATACAGGGATGAAACCATAGATGTCGTGACTGCGATTAGCAATCTTGCTTTAAGTCATGCTTTCACATTTTAGTTTGCAGCTGATGAGAACCCAGATAGTAAGGCTAAGGCCATTTGTTATGTTTAATCATGGTTCAGCATCATGTCTGCACCAGCCTTGGAAGAGGCTAGAAGCTCAGTTCATAGTGCTCCCTCTTTGGAAGCCAGTATGGTATAGTAGTGGATGAAGCATGGGATTTGGACCACAGGCTCACTAGATGACCTTGAGCAAGTTACTCTGCTTCTCTTAGTCTAACTTACCTCTCAGAATTGTGAGGATAAAGTGAGATTGCATTGAACTCCTAACAGGATCTGCAGGATATAAATGTGATGAGCAAGCGGGGAGCTGGAAAGGCATTCAAGCATCCATCTAGCCCCGTTCCAGAGCTTAGGATAGCTGACAACTAAACATATATATTTAAAATGTTTAAAATAATCAATCACATATAAAACACACCTTGTGAAAATCTGTCTGACCTAGCCACTGAAACCACATCAAAAGATGTGATTTTCAAGAGAGGAAGTTTGCAGCGGTACAGCATTATTCTTTCTTGGTATATGCTTTGGTTATCAAAGCTCAGTGCACTTATGATTGTCTCTACACTAGAGCCTGTGGTGCTCTTTAAGGGAGAGGAACACAGGGAGGCCTGTGAAAAAGATGGGTCTGTGTCTATGTGTCATATAAGAGATCCTGTATCTCAGATTAAGACTCTGTTGTGCGTTCCTGGCTGCTCACAGTTTCAGCAGTGTGCTCAAAGATTAGTTGCGCTATTGGATTATTGCTATTTTTATATTTGTTGTTAACCTTTTTTTGTTTTTCTCATTTTCTTGCAAGCCACCCTAGGAGCTCTACTGAAGGGAGGCATAAAAATATTTAAATAAATAAAATAAGTGTATGAAACTTTCTGTCGTGAGGGAGATTTGATAGAGGTGGGTTGGTAGTCAGCTAAGTTTTACTTGAAGTACACTCATTGGTATTAGCGAACATGGCTAGGTTAGGCCCATTAATTTCAGTATGTCTTCTCTTAAGTAAAACTTAGATTAAAATAAATAAATAAACAAATCTCCATGTGCAGCTAGGCTGCTTGGTAAGGCAGAGTGAGACAAGCACTGAGCACTGGTCTCAGTTCCAGCCCAGACTGCTTTTTAACTTAGTTGGTAATCCAAGGCAAAACTATGTTTAATGGTGGCATGTAACCTGTGTCTCCTCCATGGGTCTCCTCCAGTCATATGTAAGGTGGGTGGGGCATGTGATTTTAAAGCACAAAAGGAGCATGGGGAGAATGCACATGTCCTTTGGATCGAAATCTCTCTCTCTCTCTCTCTCTCTCTCTCTCTCTCTCTCTCTCTCACACACACACACACACACACACACACACACACACACAGAGAGACAAAAAAAACATTCCCCTCTTTTTAAAGCCATGTGTAGCTTTGGCCCTTATATTGAGCCATCTGCTAGCCTTGCTAACACTGTGACTGTTTTAGAGATCACAGCAAATAACAATAGCTACTGGAGACTCAATAGTTCAAAAGGAGAACACTTTTGCTTGTTTGTTTTGGCTTAGTGCACTATCCAATTACTGTTCGCACAAGAGATTCTCTTTACCCAACAAATCTTTTCTTTAAAGCACTTATCCTTTTCTAGCAGGCTGTTGGGAGTTGTAACAGCTATACGTAGATCTATCATGGCCATCAGCACTTTGGGGAGTAAGAAGTTTTTTTAAAAATGCCCATATACATACCTGTTGAGTTAGATATTTGTTGTAAGGGCTCAGTAATCTTAGTGGCCAGTTTTGACTAAGCCCCCACTCCAATTTTTTTGGGGGGGAATAGGGGGCCCCCTCATATGCTACAATTTTCCACACAGACATGATCTTGTTCTGGCCCTGTTATGAGTTCAGTTTAAAGTGTTCTTAACTAAAGCCAGAGGTGATTGTTAGTCCAAACTGTCCTAAACCAGGAGTTTGGTCTGGATTTTTTATGCAATATGAAGAAGCTGAGAAATGAAGTGTTGTATTATATTATTACATGATTTGTGGGTTCATTAGTTCCCCCAGGGTCCCCCTAGAGTTGTCCTCTGTATTCAGTCTGCATTCTCTCTCTCTCTCTCTCTCTCTCTCTCTCTCTCTCTCTCTCTCTCTCTCTCTCACACACACACACACACACACACACACACACACACACACACAAAACACAGATTTTTTTTTTAAATTCCTCTTCTTCCTCTTCATTTGGCAATTGCTTTTATTTCCTCGAAAAAGTCAAGCCGCCTGCCTCTTTGTTAACTGCTTGCTCTGCCTAGCCGCATCTACCAGACAGCATGTGTGGGCAACAAATGTGTGGATCTCCCTCCGAATAGCGTGTGGCGGTGCTGCTGCTGCTGCTGCTGCTGCTGCAAAGCAGGGAGAACACGCTCGCTCCAGGCTTGCAGCAACTGAACGCTGTTACCAGCCTTCAGATGGTATGTGCAGAGGGAGCTGACCGACCCTTGTCTGGGGCCCCGGCGGTTTAAGCTCTCTCCTTGCAAACAAAAAAACAAACCAAAAAAAAAAGCGCCCCAACTGCATGAATGGGACACACCCATTGACGGCACCGGCACAAAGACCTCGAGGACCGTGTGAGAGCCCGTAGAGGTGGTGCGCTCTGGAGCGGGGGAGGCGTAGCAGGGATGGGGAGCCTTGGAAATCACGAATGGCTGCTGCTACTGCTGCTGCAGCAGCTGCAAAGGCAAGATGACTTAATTCCCTAGATCTATCCATCGCTTTGCTAGCCCATTTTAATGGCGACTCTTTATTTCTCTTCTCTCTCTCTCTCTCTACCTCTCTCCCTCCCCCCTCCTTTTAGGTTTCTTTCCCCTTTCCTCCTCTCCCCAAACATTTCATAAAGAAGATATGTCAAAGAAAAGAGAGAAGAAGAAAAGATGATAAGGCCTCTTCCCTCATCTGCTAATTACCATCAAGCCATGTACCACATCTGTTTATCACCTGAAGCCCCTCTGCCTCATGGTTGAGGGAGATTAACAAATGGCCAAAGAACGGGAGGAGGAAAGAATTGTTTTTGTAAACTGTCTTTCTCTTTCTCTGTCTTTCTTTCCACCAGAGCACCGATATTGCCAGGGGCTTTGAAAGAGGATTGGAGCCGGAAAAGATCATTGGAGCCACAGACTCTTGCGGCGATTTAATGTTCCTAATGAAATGGTGAGTGTGCGTCTTTCTTCTTTTTTTTAATATTGACCCTGTTGTCTGGTTTTCCTGCTCTCGGCGGCCCTTCTTAAAGCAGCCAATAAATTACCAGAATAGTCTAGGGTGAGGTGCTGTGGCGAAATGGCCCAAGGACACTTCATTCTGCTTCTCTGCTAAGGCTTTGTTTTCCCTCTGCTCTGCAAAATGCTCTACACCTGGAGCTTGTATATCATGCTTTGCAAGATACACAAGCCCCTTCCCTTCCACATCTCTGCCCCCCTCCCCGCCCCTCCAAAAGAAGAAGAAATACTAGAGAGCACAGGAAATCCTTCGGGGGAAGGTTTGGACTTGCCTCTTGTTTTTGCTCCTGGGCTTATCTCAGCTGGAAGCCTCTCTGGGCAGAGAGAGAGAGAGAGAGAGAGAGAGAGAGAGAGAGATGGCCGTGCTGCATATGCAGCAGCCCCTCCCCCACCAGCAGCCGGGAACAAAGAGCTGGGAGAGTCTGGCTTATCTGCCTGGCAGAGGTTATAGCACAGCTGTGTTCAAGGGAGCTGCCTCTTGCTCCTCAACTCCCCTCCGCCACCCCCAGCCCCAGCCCCGAAGATACTGGGTCCTCCTCCCCTGTAGCAATGCAGCAGAGATAATAAGCCCTTGTCCTGGGCTTTGCTGTCTCTGAAGCTGGCGGGGTTGAGATGGATGGTGCCTGCTCCTCTTGAGACAGGGGGGGGGAGGGGAGCCAGCTGCACACAGCGCCTTGGAGGAGGGGGCTGGAGGGAACACAGAGACAAGGAACGCGGGGAGAAGAATTGGTAGATTCACCTCTCCCTGGTTCGTTCTACTGCGCGACCAAACGCCCTGGGTACCCAGGGGTATTTTCTGGCACCTCTTGGTTGCGGAAATACACCCCCACACCCTGTAAGGGCTACAATCCCAAACTGGAGAACTTCACCTTTGGTAAATCACCTGTGTGGAACAATCCCTGTTTTTTTTTTTTAAATAAAAAGTCATTTATATGAGGCCCATGTCCAATGGTAGCTTGGTCCCAGGTGATGCATCCAAGGAAGGCAATGATTAATAGCTGATGAATATCCAATCTTGAAATTTCCAGCTCACTTGAATTCTGTAGAGCAAGGAATCTGTTCAATGAGACAAATGCTTTGCAGATTAACACGATGATATTTTGTAGACTGTTTTAAATGTGCAAAGGTTATTTACAGTGCTCAGCACCATTGAACCCTGTGAACTATTTTGCTGTGATTGCTGTTTTATAAATGGAAGCTGAGGTTAAGGGAATGTGGCTTGTCCAAGGCTTTGGTTTGAGCCCTGGGCTTATAGGTACACAACCAAATTATCCCCTGGATCACATTTGCTATCATTGGGTAAATTAATTACTTCAAAAGAACTAATCTCTTTTTAGGCAGTGGGAATAATTTCTATTGCAAAATACTGCAGAAACAGATTGTGAAGTTTAACAACACTCATTTTAATTAATCTGTACTCTGCGTTGGATCACTTTAAAATCTTACCTTTGCAATTGACATCATTCAGTGGTCATTAATGAAACGTGTTTGCTATCTGGCATTTAAACTAATTTTATTGAATTAAGGTTGCAATCCTGTACCCATTTACTTGGGAATTGCATTTACTGAATTGCACTCAGTTGGGACTTAACAGTGCACCTTGTATCTACTCATAAATATTTTGCTATAATTACTTATTATATTTATTGCTTTTCTCAGAAAGGTAAACTCAAAGTGACTTTTGAAAACAAATATTAAAAATGAGTAAAAAGAACCTAAAATGCTCACCAATAATATGTATATTATTTAGATTGACAAAATGTAAAACTTGAATGATTGTTTTGGGGATCTTGAAGCGAAGAGAAGTAGCTTATAAATTAATAAATAATGTACTGTTTAAGGAAAGGCAATTTGTCAATATTTTATTTTTCATCGGCTTAATAATAAAAAGCAAGTAAAAGTCAGGATTACCAGCTTCAGTTTCTGACGACTGTCATGAAAACCTTTGCTTCCCAGGGCGTAACTGTTCATGTTGGGCACAGACACAAGGAAAAGCAGTCTGCAAATTTACCTTTATCAAATTTACCTTTAACAGTCCCAGACTGTTTACTTGCTATAGCCTCTCACTAATACCATTGTGTATGTGTTGGGGGTGGAGGTTAACTGGTAATGAAGTCTTGAGTTGATTGCACCAGTTAATTAATTAAAAAGTTTGTAGCCCTAATCTGTGCTAGGTAGCCTTTACCAGTAAATGTCATGAGATACGCAATGTCTAGCAACTTTGTAATGCCTTTGCAGAAAGCTCAGGTATCACCAGAAGCTTTTAAACTCAAAGCAAGGCATAGAAAATGAGAGTGGATGGACATCCAGGCTATATTGCCCATTTCTGTTCTTGTTATTGTAGTATACTGGTCAAGCTAAATTGTCCTCTTTGTATACCCTTGCCTTACCTCTGTTTTGCCTTTGCCTATTCCTATTTTCTAAAAAAAAAAAAAAAGATGCTAGATTACAAAGCAAGCTTCATTTCATCTCGTGTAGTTGTACATTCTACTATATGATTTCTTCATCGGTTGCATGCAGTTCCCTTGAGATATTAAAATAGGAAATGCATTTTAAAATAGGAATCTCTAACATACAGGGCAAGCCTCCAGTCCTGCCAATAGAGTAAAGAAAGAAAGAAACATCCTGGGAGTTGACCTTTTGAAGCCACATTTTAAGCGTAAATAAATTGAAACAAAGTTAAGCTGAAAAAAATAACTAAAAGTTTGCTTGTAGTAGCAGTTTTCAATATGCTGTGCCATCAAACGATTGTGTGGACAAGTACAGGAGCCAAATTCTATGCTTCTAGAGATCCAGGAAAAGTGGTCACCTTTTTGTACTGTATTTAGCCCCTATAATGTTAGGTGGAAACATTTCAAACTCGGGCTGCCATTTACCTTAGTCAACCATTTATCAGTTGCTCAACAGGAATAGTTTTCTGGGTGGTGTAAAAAATAAAATCAGGGATTCATTATTAATCAATTACATTTGCACAGGGGTAAAACAAAAAAGAAAACCATACGTCCTTTGATTTAAATCAGGGGTTTCCAACATGGCATTCCTGGGCAAACATGTGCCCAGATAATCCTTTCCTCTGCTGCAATCAGGCTTGAAAGAATCATTCAATTTTTGTCAATAGTATTTCCTGCAGTGTGTGCTTGGTTGTGCTGTATGTAATGCACAAATGCACATTTTTAACCAGTTGGAGTATTTTTAATTGATTGATCTAACCAATTAATTGATTGAATGTTGGACTCCTACCCATAACTGTACAATTCCTAGAAAGATTGAGGGCGAGGCATTGCTCTGTTGCTTCCTCTCCCCTCTTCACATCCTTTTGATGGGAAAAGAAGTGCACAGTGTTGCTTGCTTTTGGCAACCCAACCCTAATCTTAAAGTCAGCTCTTGGAGAAGGGGTACAGCAGAGAAAATTGTGTTTGCGCCTCTCATCAATCGGAGCAGGAAAAAGGGAGAAATGCAGAGATTTCTGTTTGAGTATGCATTCAAACACTGGTTAGAACATCCGTGTTACTGCACTAGGATTGGGTTCAGCAACTGGAAGCACTTGTGTCAGATTGGGTACCCTAGGAGATGCCAACCTGGCCCTCCAGTTATCAACCTAGAGGATTAAAGGCAACTGTGGCAAAATAAATGGTTGGCAGCCATCCCTTGCTCCCTCCTCAAAGAGTCCTCCAGAAAGCCAGTTGCTGACCAGGACATTAAGTAGTATATAATGAGAGTTGTCAATCTTTTTTTTTTAAGTTGATAAACCATCTGTGCTTCAATCAATTCATTGTGATATTGTAGGAAATTTAAGTTTAATTAGCCATTTATGAACAAAAGCTATTATTATTATTATTATTATTATTATTATTAGAATTTATATACAGTGGTACCTCGGGTTAAGTACTTAATTCGTTCCGGAGGTCCGTTCTTAACCTGAAACTGTTCTTAACCTGAAGCACCACTTTAGCTAATGGGGCCTCCTGCTGCTGCTGCTGCGCTGCCAGAGCACGATTTCTGTTCTCATCCTGAAGCAAAGTTCTTAACCTGAAGCACTATTTCTGGGTTAGCGGAGTCTGTAACCTGAAGCGTGTGTATCCTGAACCATATGTAACCTGAGGTACCACTGTACTGCCCTAAACCTATCTCAGGATGGTTCACAGACTAAAATCAAGATATAAAAACACAAAATCCATAATAAAAACAAAAACAACAACCTAATTAATAGGAAAGGCCACCTTTCAATATTTTTATTTTTCTTCCTCCCCCCCCCCAACTTTTCTTCCATTTTGTAAAAGATACTACAACCAAATCACCTTGAAATGTAAAACAAGGATGGCTTTAATTCAGTCTCATTGATTTAAAATTGCTCCCATTAATCAACTAAAGATTTAGTTGATTCATTTATTGATTATGCCTGTCGACACTTGCAGCCTGTTATAAGTATTGCATATGTATATTATGTTTATAAATTGCTTATTCACTGAAAAAAAGTCCCTTAGTTGACAATGTATGCAACACACACACACACACCACTGGGGTTGCAGTAGCTGCCTTCCTCCTCCCAGTTAATTGACAGCTTCAATGTATCTGAAGAAGTGTGCATGCACACGAAAGCTCATACCAATAACAAACTTAGTTGGTCTCTAAGGTGCTTTGTTGTTTGTTGTTGTTTAGTCATTTAGTCGTGTCCGACTCTCTGTGACCCCATGGACCAGAGCACGCCAGGCACTCCTGTCTTCCACTGCCTCCCGCAGTTTGGTCAAACTCATGCTGGTAGCTTCGAGAACACTGTCCTACCATCTCGTCGTCTGCCGTCCCCTTCTCCTTGTGCCCTCCATCTTTCCCAACATCAGGGTCTTTTCCAGGGAGTCTTCTCTTCTCATGAGGTAACCAAAGTATTGGAGCCTCAGCTTCAGGATCTGTCCTTCCAGTGAGCACTCAGGGCTGATTTCCTTCAGAATGGATAGGTTTTATCTTCTTGCAGTCCATGGGACGTCCCTTCATGCATCACTGCCTTGCCGTGGCGAAGGGACTTGAATAACTCTAAGGTGCTAGTGGAAGGAAATTTTTTTATTTAGCTTAAATACCGGTATATGTTTTCTCCTACTCTGGTGCTGCTTCCTTCAGGCAGGTTACTTGAGCCCAGCTCCCCTTTTTTCATGTACCAATCAATTGGGGTGTGTGTGTGTGTGTGACTGCTTGATCAACTAGTGACAAGTCCTTCTCTTGTTATCCTCGCTTACCTCTTCAGGAAAGACACGGATGAGGCTGACCTGGTTCTAGCGAAAGAAGCCAACGTCAAGTGCCCTCAAATTGTGATAGCGTTTTATGAAGAGAGACTGACCTGGCACGCGTACCCAGAAGACGCCGAAAGCAAAGAGCGGGAAGCAGTGAAAAGCTAAAGTGGCCAGGGTCCTCTGTCCGTCCATAGTTGTACATATCCACCCTCCTTTCCCCTCCACCCAAATGCATCCATGAAAATGTGCTTATTACTGTGCTCCACAGGAGAAATGTTGATATTGGTTGGGTTAGCCATAACATTAATGGTGTGAGTCACGTTTGGTTTCACTCCAAAAGATTGACATGGTGTGTGCGTGTGCGTGTATGTGTGTTCCTTGTTCCCCTTATCTCACAATCCCCCCAAATCTGTTTTCACTTTGAAATCCCTCTGAGTCTCCAGGCCATTTGTCTCCCCCCCGGGTTCCTCACTTTTGCATCAGTTTGAGAGTGAAGGGTTATTGTTTCCCATTGGCCTATATGAAGACTGTAAAACTGACAGGGGGTACCGGGAAGACCTATCTGACTCAGAACACTCTTTGGATTCTGAGATTACCCAAATAATTCTCAAGCCAGGACATCATGGGGCCATTTTTGTTGTTTTAGGAATTGCTGACGTTTTGCTGGAATTGGGTTCCAGGATGCTGGGTACCGGTTTTCATCCTGACTCCCAATGCCAATGTCACTTGCACCAGCTCCACTCAGCCAGCACTCAGTTTTCTAGCTGCAGGGCAGGAGCAGGTAATTTGGGAAGGCAACCATTAAAAACTAATTAGCTAGCAAGGACAATTTCCTCCTTTTTCAGCCAGTCCTTTCATGCAATCAAAATCTAGTATCCTACCACCTCTTTCCTTTTGTTTTTCTTATCTTGCAGTACATGGATAGGACTAGCAGCCCAGCCAAATTTTGTGCCATACTGGAGAGCCTTCTTTGTTGTGGCTATTCCAAAGACAGCTGGAAATCATGGTTTCAAAATTGGATTATTTTCTGGGCTCTCTCGTCATTTGGATAGCTCTCTTCACATGCAGCAGGCATCTCTGACAGAATAACCTCTGCTGTGAGATGTGGGCAAACTCTTTTATTTCCGCCATTTACCCCAGGTATGTTTGTGTTTGTTTTTTTTAAAAAGAAAATTGGCCACTTAGAGGAGCTGTCTCATACGAGCATCCTTTGCTTTCAAGCGCCTGGTTATACGTAGCACACGGATCTTGATGCAAGAGTTTTCTGGACAGACTTTTTTTTTTTGTCCTTGGCTGCCCCCTGAAAAGTATCCCATTTCTCTGCACCAGCAATGTGGCGGCTAAGTAATTATTCCACGCTGAGGGTGTTGGGATTGTTTAACCCTTAGAAGTCCTTTCGGCAGTTGATTTCCCCATCTTGTTCCATACGGTGAGCGGCTGGAGGACCAAGTCACAGAAAGCAGGTAGCAGTCTTCCCCTCCTTCGTGCCCTTCTCTCATGACAATGCCCATGCATGTTTTTTCACATGGAATGTCTGTATTGTGTAGTATATAGATAGGACTTTAGGGCCCTTTAGAGAGTTTTGACGCTCACTAATAGCTTCATCTTCCCTCTTTGCAGACAGATTTTGGTGTAACTCCCGGCAATAAAAGGGAAAGCTTGACAGTATTAGCATTGATTGCTGCTGGCTTCTCACCAGCTGCGCTTTTGGATACCTAAGGACAGATAAGCATCGTACAACTTTGTAAGAGACTTGATGGGAGCGTGCAAAAGAATCAGTTTGAAGTAGGCTAGCCTTCTGCCTCGGAAGTGAAATGCCACTAGTCCTTGCATTTCCTGCTAATTTCCTTTCAGGGTCTAGGAGTTAACTCTTTTGCTCCCTGCCTGCCCCCCACGCACACCTCTTCTCCCAACCACTTTCGTCTTGCTTTTTATAGGGGAGAAGGGTGAGACAGAGTGTTTGCACCAATGCAAGTCCCAAGCCTGGTGGCAGTTCCTCGTTCGGTTTGGCGTCGTGAGGTTTTCAGCTTTGTCTTTTCCTACAGCAGACAGTCAAAGCGGTTCCGCATCATTCCATTTTGTGCCTCTGCATGCTGAGCCCTGTCACACTGTCAAGAACCGCTTCTTGTGGATGGTTTGGATATGGTGTGGTGGCAGGAGCTGACTTGGTGCTATTGCTTGTAACTCCTGTGCCACTAGAGACTTGCCCATCTCCCATCTCTTCTGACTCCACCAGCATTTCTGTGTTTTGGCATCTCTTCACTCAGTCCCCAAAACACATGCATGTTGAACAGGCAGAATATAGCAGCTGCTAAGCAGGATTTGTTAGGATAGATGGGTTTCACGCTCCACTTTAATTTGATCTGCGCCACTTTTGCACCGTGAACAAATAATCACTTGGAGAGTTCTTTGAGAAGGCTCTGATCTTCGAATATAGTTACTTTAAAGGGGGGGGAGGAGTTCCTGTTTGTTTCCCTACACTTCTTCACAGAAAGCTGTCTTCTCTCCCCCCCACCCCATCCCCATTCCCTAGTTACAACTGTTGGAAAGGGCCAGTTGGATAAAAAAATTTTTTTTGCATTGTATTCTGTAAAGATGGAAAGAACAAATGGTTTAAAATAGCCATCATCTTATTTTCGTTATTATTGCTTTTGTTGTTAGCCATCTGTTTGAATTAAAACAGCAGGAAAAATAAAGCTGCTGAATGACCCAAATTTTATTTATGCACCTGAAGGCATTACAGGTATGAGGCTCACCATCTTGGGTGGGGGCTGTGATTCATTATAGCTTCTGCCTTCTACTTAACAAAAAAACAAAAAAAAGATGGGGGGGGGGACTGAGGAATAGGAGTCAAGAAGAATTGCATCTGGGAAGGCAATACTGAGAGTTAGATGCCCTTAATCAGCCAGCAAACAGCTCTCAGCCTCTGAAGTCCCATTTGCACCTTCTTCTTTGCCACTAGTTGTCTCCATGTGGTCTGCAGTTTGGGGAAGTGGACAAAGAAGTAAAGAGGTATCAGGAGTCCACAGCAAGGGGCCACATCTAAGCCCACCGCAGAGTAGAAGCTTTGAACGAACTGCAGTCTGCCGTTTGGAACATCTTTCCTGTTCTGCAGTTCTGCACAGTGGCGAAGCATTCCCCGCTTGCAACTGGGGCATGCGCAGGGTACACTGTGGGGGTGGAGCCATGGGTGGGGCGCACCACCAGAGCAATCCCTGCCCACTGCTACAAAGTGGAGTGCGCTCATGACACCCCACAAGCCCAGCATCGCTTTGTGAGACTTGCAAGAACGAGGCGGGGCTTGCGGGGTACTGCAAACAGACGTGCGCCCCAGCAAGCAGCGCTGGGCTCGCAGGGAGGGCCAGGGTGCACACATGTTGCAACAGCTCACAATGGGGCATGGTGCCATGTAAAAGGTAAAGGGACCCCTGGCCATTAGGTCCAGTCATGACCGACTCTGGGATTGCGGCGCTCATCTTGCTTTATTGGCCGAGGGAGCCGGCGTACAGCTTCCAGGTCATGTGGCCAGCATGACTAAGCCGCTTCTGGTAAACCAGAGCAGTGCACGGAAACGCCGTTTACCTTCCCGCTGGAGTGGTACCTATTTATCTACTTGCACTTTGACGTGCTTTCGAACTGCTAGGTTGGCAGGAGCAGGGACTGAGCAACGGGAGCTGAGGCACCCCCCAAAAAACTGTCTGCGGGTAGATGGCCCCTTCAGCTCCCCCCACGCTACACCACTGGTTCTGTGGACCAAAATCTGCAATATCGAAACTTCGAGTTTCCATATTGTGGCCACCTTCTTTAGCTTCCTAGGCCAAGCCTCTAGCAGCAACATTGCCTGGTATGGGCCAAGGTCGGTGTGTTTAGTTCAGGTAGGGGTGGCCAGTTGCAAAACAGAACAGGGCTCCTGTCCCTTATGATAGCTGTGTAGAAGAGTGAATCGTCTGACCAATTACACCTGCTGAAATTCCCTCTTCCACACAACTGTCAAAGGTGCAGGTGCCCTGACCTCTTACAGCTGGACATCCTGCCAGTAGGGCGCAGGCTAAATAAGAGAGCCTTCCCTTCATAAGGATAATTCCCAGGTCCTCTCTGTAAAAGACCCCACAGTTCCACCAGATCAAACAGTGTTCCCCCCCTGCCCCTTACCTCTGTAAACCTCGTGGGAACAGCGTTGAGCGCACTAGAAGCACATATTTTCTTTATCCTCCACCCCGTTGCAGCATAAACACTATCCTTTTTGCCAGCTGCTGCTAATAGATGTTTCTCTCTAGAGCTGAAAATGAGGACTTCTGGTGATCATAAGCACTTGTGTGTCAGGCTAAAAAAAAAAAAGCAAAGCCATCTGTTGGGGAAATTAGTAGGTATTTGATAATACCACTGCATTAAAACCATTTCAAGCAAAACCCGCTAGCACTTCTCTCCCTTGCAAGTATTTGTGCTACAATTTCTCAGTGGTGCATTTGTTGGTCTGCATGTGTGTTTTTAAATATCTACTCCCATATGCAGCTTTCCAGGGAGGAGAAAAGTTAAAATAACTCGAATGTCATTCTGTTTTTCCTCTCTCAACTTTTTTAAAAAATGCACTTTCAGTCTGAGGTAGCACACAACCCCCGTCACAGTTGGACATTGTATGTGGTACTTAAAGCTCCCTTGCCAAGCTAAACATACCCACAAAATGGGTCAGCTGCCTAACCTGCTAAGAGAGAGAAACCGAAAATCCCTTTTAATCTTCTCAGTAGGCAGAAATGTAAGGAAGTAGACCTTAGCGAGTTTCACAACGTGAACTGATGATATGCTGCAGCACTGTTCAGAAAGACACTTCTTTTTTAAAAAAGAGAAAGCTCTTTTAAATATATCCCAAAAGCATGGCTGGATTCTTGGATACCAGCCATGCGACCAACCCCCGCCGCCCCAGTTCCCTCCAGTCAGCTGAACATCCTGCAAGGTGTATAGAACTTGCCAGCTGATTGAAAACATCTTAGGATCTCTAAGCCATTCATGCTGCGTTTCAGTGGCTTCTGAAATGATCCTACCTCCTCTTTGACTCCTGGTCTCAATGTTTCAGTGGCAAAACAAAGGCATTTTGATGTTAGCTTTTTTGGTGTCTTACATTTGGAAGTTGTGGGGAAATGTATGTCTGATGAGTTGATGGGGGAGGTTTGAATTTTAGATCTGGGCTTTTATTAGAGGTTTGTAAATGGTGTGCATGTGTGCATGTCTGTTTGGGGCTTTAAAGAACTCTAAAAGATCCCCCCCCCCCCGCGCGCCTTTAAATTGAGTACTTCCTCTCTGTATTCATCATGGATTAAGTTCATGGTGAGACATTCAATTTACAGGTGCAGTCTTCTTTCGCATCTTCTTCTTAGCATGCTGTCAAGAAGTGAATTGTTATCCCAGTCGCCTAGAATAATGAAATAAAATTCAGAGAGAGAAAATTAATTTTGTTTTAATTAAACTCATTAATTTTTTGATTAACGGTCTAATTTTTACCTGGGGTGGCATCTAAATCTTTCCTTGGCAACGTGCACTGTAATGACACTGCCTCGTCCCCTTAGTGGGGAACAGCGTAGAAGGCAGCAGAAGGAGGGGAGAAGCTGGGCATCCACCTAGTACGATCTGAATTTTCTTGGATCCCCAAAACTGGAGAGGCCTTCTGTTTGTGAACGAGAGCATTAGATCTTACCTGCAACTTTTGCAACAACTTTAGGCTTTGCAACTTGCTGCTTAGCTTACAGCAGAATAGCAGGCTGTGTTTTGGATATGGTCGATTCCTGTTCTCTGAGCCTTTTGAAAAAAGCATTTTGAGCTAGATCCTAAATTTCTTGTGCCAGATCTGAATTTCTTGTTTATCAGAAACAAAGACCACGGGTCACAAAGAAGTGAATTTTAGCTGCACAAGAGAGACATCCAAGACAATACCTTATGTCATCACTTCAAAATCCAAAGCCAGCTCTCAAATGTAATCTGGTGGTTCACTGCCTTTCCTTATTTTTCCACCTTGCCTGGATGCAGGCATCATTTGGGTGCATAAGGTTGCCTGAACCCGTTCACAACAAACTGAATCCTGTTCTGAAGCCTTTCGGAGAGAGGCTGTAAAGTTGTAGCTTTTGCTTTATAGCAAACAGTTCAGACGACATGAATACTTTGGTCAGATCCGAGCAGAAAAAAACAAGCTCAGCCACATGCAGAGTAGCTGTGTGAAAGGACCTTGAGAGTTTCCTGTGGGGCAAGGAAGTGAAGCATATCAAGGTTCAACTTGATCAGTGTTAAAAGTTCCAGTGAACGCTGGAAGGAGGCCTTACTGGGGTGATGTGGCCACTCTTCCCTTTTCACCCCAGTAATATGCTGCCGTCCACAATAAAACGTTGATTAACTTTGCGGGGGGGGGGTGTACATGTGAGCTTCCCTTGTGGTGACATTTTAGCCAAGCTCTTTGATTCTCCACTAATGTATGTTACACTGTTTTTTAAAGTGTGAAAATTGATTTTTGAGCGAAGGAGCTATTTGTCGTACAGTTTGACACGTTACAAACAAACCTCTCTCCTCTGCCCTGTGTTCCTCATCCCCACTCTTTCATACTTCTTGTATTGGTTCTAATAAATGGTTACTTTTCAGAACAGGCTATTGTCCTTTTCTTTAGCTCCTCCGGTGTCTGCTTTTGAATCTGGTTGCTGCATCGATCGAGAAGCTTGTCCTAGCGAGGAAGAGCAGAGCAGTGGAGGAAACCACCAACAACAGAAGCACAGCAGAAGCAGAGCAAAATTGGCTGTTTCTCCCATCGTAGCTGAGACCTGTGGTCACCATATTATATATATTATATATTATATATTATATATTATATATTATATATTATTTGGCCCATGGTCTTCAGTTTTTTGAGAACCCATCTTTAAGGTAAAGGTAAAGGGACCCCTGACCATTAGGTCCAGTCGCGGATGACTCGGGGGTTGTGGTGCTCATCTCGCTTTATTGGCCGAGGGAGCCAGCGTACAGCTTCCGGGTCCTGTGGCCAGCATGACTAAGCCGCTTCTGGCGAACCAGAGCAGCTCACGGAAATGCCGTTTACCTTACTGCCAGAGCGGTACCTATTTATCTACTTGCACTTTGACGTGCTTTCGAACTGCTAGGTTGGCAGGAGCAGGGACCGAGCAACAGGAGCTCACCCTGTCACGGGGATTCGAACTGCGACCTTCTGATCGACAAGTCCTAGGCTCTGTGGTTTAACCCACAGCACCACCTGCGTCCCTAAAGAACCCATCTTTAACCTCAACATATTTAACCTTTCCCTCTCTCTGAGGCTCTGCTGCTTCATTTGCAGCCTAACAAGGGGTCTTTGCTACTGTTAAGGAAAATTCTGGGTTGAGAGACTATCCAACAGCCCAGCTCTTTGGGGTACAAGTCCCCCGCGGGTCCACGCGGTCAGTAAAATAAGGAAGTTCCAGCCAAGTAATTTGGAGCAAAACAGCAGTCAGTAGACTTAGATTCTTTATTGTCACGCAACAGGTTCAAACAGCAGCGAGTGAACCCAGAGCATGGGGTGACATTGACTTTTAAAACTTTCCCACCATATCCCAGAATACAGTTTGCACAGCATCATCAGTACATCATTGCTACATCACTAAAGGGGAGCGTTACACAAGATTAGCATGGACAGATATGTCAGGGCAACACCCAAGTATAAGATTAGCATAGGCAAACATGTCTTAAGTACCCACACACCCAAAGTATGTCTGGAGCCTGAGGCAAGTCTGGTGATGAAATTTGGCTTTCCTTGGCTAACTCTGAGTCCAGCAATTGTCACCTCTGG